CACCCAGGCCTGGGCCAGCACACGTCGGCTCCCTCCTCCCTTGTATAAGTACCCTATGCCATTTCCTCTTCAAGGACCCTATGCCTTCTCTTGCCCCCTGTCAAGCCTCAGGCCCCTTTCTCTTGGGCCCCTTTCTCTGGGGCCTGACCCCGGATGACTGCTATTGTCCCCGGAGGTCTATGCACCAACCCTCCCGTGCAGCCTCTGCCATCCCAACTTCCTCTGCACAGAGCTTCCCAAGGCTCCACGTCACTCGGAAACAAGTCGCAGGCCTTGGCCACGGCCCTGCTGGCCCACGGCAGGCCCTGCTCTCTGCCCTCCTGGCCCCGGCCTCTTCCCTGCAGCCCCACTGTTCTGTGCAGGTTCCACGCTCCCGCCCTCCTCAGGGGCTCTGCACTTGCCATTTCCTCTGTCCCAGTGCTCTGCTTCATCTCCCCACTTCCTTCCGTCTCCGCTCAGGTGGCCCTGACCACACACATACAGTAGCTCTGGCCACTCCCACCTTCTCTCCTCTGCGGTACTGAGCACCATGGAGATGACGTATGCACGGTTGGGGTGCTGTGTCTCCCCCACCCAGTGGCATGGCAACTCCACGAGGGTGGGATTTTGTCATTTGGTTTGCTGCCATGTTCCAAGCACCTAAGCCCGCCTGGCATACGGTGGGCGCTCCATCAGTGGGTGCAGACGCCCTGCCTGGCTCAGAGAGGGCGTCTGCACCCACTGTGCAGACACAGCTGGGTACAGACCTGGTCCCATCACTTCTTTACGGGGTCACTTAACCTCCGCGTCTCAGCTCTCACGTGGCTGTTGTGAGGATCTCAGAGAAAATGTGTGATAGCACCTATGGCAGCGGTTTGCTCTGGACTAAGCACCGGCTTCTCACCCCCTACCCACAGGGTGTGGCCGTGTCTCAGCACCCCCTCCCTTCTCTTCTGTGTGCTCCAGTGTCTCAGGCTGGACGCCTGCAAACCACCATCCCGCCTCCACTCGCCAGCAGCTTCCCATCAGCTCCTGCCAATGAGGTGGGGGCAGCAGGCGCCGGACCGCTGGCAATTCCAATGCCAATCTCTTCTGGTCCCTGGCCCTCACAGAGCCTCCCTCATGTCTCCAGCCCTTCACCAGTGCTGTGAGCAGATCTCCAGAAGGGCTTTATTTCCTGCTTCAAACAGCAGGGAGCGGGGGTGGTATTCTTGACTGAATCCTTACTGGACAAGGAAGTTTCTAAGGTGGCTTGTGGGGGGAGGGCGGGCCAGCGTGTATACCTGGTGGCATCCGGCCGGAAGCTGGTGGGACAGCTTCCTCCCCAACTCTGCCACCTTGGGCGGGCCTTCCTCTGGCCTTCCCCACTCGCTCCCCCCACCCACCCCATCCTGCTCACCCTCAGGGCTGCCCTGGCAGCAACAATAACTACATGGTGCCACCATAGTGAGCCGTGACCTCAGCACCCCGCAGCCTTTAGCTCATTAGCTCGTTAACTCATTCACTCCTCACAACGCCCCAGTTTGGGCAGAGCTGTCATCCTCCTATTTCACCCGAGTAAACCGAGACCCAGGCTATGAAGTCATTTGCTGGTGACGCACTTCCATGGCTGGTACATGGCAGAGCCAGTCTGGTTCCAGAGGCGGCGCTCACATTCATACTCCCCGTGCTCTCCCAGGCGTCTGTGCCAGCAGCTCGGGCTGCAGAGACGGGGCCCCGGAGGAGGGAGCATGAAGAGACGGTGATGAGTGGATGCTCATTTCGTGCTTGAGAATCCACTAAGGTCCTTCCTCCAGTTCCTCTCATCATAATCACCGCCACTTCCCCATAGCCCGCCCACCTCCAGCACATGGGGAACGGCCTCTCTCCCTCTGGGGGTGATGGAGGACGGGGCCTGGGTTCTGGAGAAAAGCAGAGCTCAAATCCCAGCTCTGCGGACCTGCCCTGCGGCCTGGGGGAGTCCTGGCCTCTGAGGTCCTCGGTCCCCAACTGCACACAGAAGGTGGGCTGAGGACCGTTACCGGCTCTTCTGGCATCCACTCCCCAAATCCTGTGAAGATTTTAAAAACCAAGAGCTTTGGTCAGGGCAGAGGAGTGGACCACACATTTTACCGTGCCAGGCTGGGCTGGTGGGCCAGGCCAGAGCTGAGGGCAGAGAACTAGTCAAAGCTCAGCGATGGGGGAGTTGGCCGTAGGATGGGTTTGCCTATGGAACAGATAACTGTGAATGGTCCATCCAGCTGCAGAGGCGCCGGTCCTGCCAGCTGACTAGGACTGCCCTGTCTCTCTGAGGAAGCCAGGCTGGTTGTCCCCCTTTTGATAAGTTGACTTGAGTCACTGATGGCCATTCCATGCTGGACACTGGAGCCACAGGGTGAATCAGACACGGCCGGGGCCTCTTGGAGCTCACAGGCTAGCAAAGGCAAACATCAGCCTTTCTGCCCTCCAAGGCCCAGAGGGACATACCTCCCGGCTTCACCCCTGGCTCCCAATGTCCCCCGGGTGTGGTGCACGCCTAGCCCACGCCCAGGAACTTTCCAGGGCACCATGACCCACAACCCCTGGGCTCTGAAGAAATCAAGCCAGACCCCTGCAGCCCACCCCACGCAGGGGTTCAGCAGACATAGTCAGAATTGTTGCTTGGCAACAAGATCTTGAGACAGAGCTTACATCTGTCCAGGCTAGAAGGCAAGGCACCAACCTGACCCAGCATCTGGGTACTGGGCCCTTGGCTGAGGCTATTCTGTGCACCCTCAGCTCCTAAGCAAGACCATTGTGATGTCCAAGTGTTTCGCATGCCCTGTCGAGGCAGCGCCACCCGGGACAGAGGAGATCACAGGCACTGAATCCCAGGCCGGCGTTAGCTCCGTGGGTTTCAGTTTCTCCGCCTCTAAAATGGGCTGGGACTGCCTGCTAGCAGAGTCGCTGCAGCCGCTCAAACAACTGACATGTGCAGGTGCTGCTTGCTCCCCTCCTTCCTGGCCCCTCTGAGAAGGCATCTGCCACCGGCAAGACACTGAGTCAGCTCAGGGCCCCCCTCCCAGCCTGTACCCCATAGGCCGGGCAGCGCCTACTGGGGAAAGACCGGGCGCTGATGTGATGGGTCACACCCTGCTGAGTCCTAACTTGGGCAAGTCCAGAGCAGCAGCCCCAAAGGGGTGAGGTGGGGAGGACCTGCTCTAGCCAGTCTATGGGGACAGCCCTGCCCCCGGCTCCGGCCTGGCCTAGGCCTGACAACCTCCCATGGAGACACCCGCTGGTCAGCATCTCCTGTCCGTCCGGCGGCAGAGGCTGTCCATGGCTGGGCTGCTGGCAGAGCAGGGTACGGCACAGGGTGGTGGTGCCGTGGAAAGAAGTTCTGGGGTCAGGACTGGGGCTGGAATCCCAGGCCCACTCCTTACGGGCTGCGTCAGTCATCCCATCTCCTACCTGAGACTAGCATCATCCGCCTCGGAGCACGGTCACCAGGACGCTGATGTGAGGTACAAAGAACCTAAAATGGAGTGAGCCCTGGAGAAAGGCTCACTTCTGAATAAGCAAACAGTCCACCTGCTATGACCCCTTACCCAGCAGGCGGCCAGGGACAGACCAGACCCCAAACCAGCTCCAACCCCAAGCCAGCACCGAGGGCACAGATTTCCCCAGAGTGCCCATCCGAGTTTGTGGGCAGACCCTGGAGAGATTTAATGGGGGCGGAATCTCCTCCTGGGAGAGAAGACCCCCAACATCCACCAGCAGAGCTGGTCACATCCAGTCTCAAAGGCAACTTTGTTCTCCCAGCTTTTCCCTCACACATGAAAGAGCAGACAGCGGGTGCCCGGGATTCATAATTTGAGACATCGGGACACTAAAGACATCGGCCAAATTTAAACCGAAAGATGAACTTGTTGGGTATCTTTCCAGATTATGGGGGAAGAAGAAAGGAGAGCCTGTAAGTCCTCTAAGATCCACTCAGAATTCACAGCGAATCCTCCCCACGGCTGACATCAGAGGGCTCTGCCTCTGGGTTCGGACGTTTGGAGAATCAGTTTGAGAGGAACAAAGGCAGAAAGTCCGAGGAGACCTCCCACTGGAGCCTGGAGGGCAGCCCTCCCGTGCAGGCTCTGTGTGGCTCTGGGAGGCCAGGGCATGGGGGGTCAAGGGTCACACATTTCCGAGTCTGGGCTGTGGCTCACAAGTGCTGGCAGTGTGACTGCCTTCCTCCCGGCCGCAGGGCCCTGGTGCTTACGGACAACAGGCTACCGTGATGAGATGAAGCAGAGCCCGGGCCACAGAGTGGAGCTCAGTTAAGAGGAACTGTCAGCTATCAGTTTCGCTTTGACATCCGTAAACACTTTTGGTCCAAATCGCCTTTTGCTCTGAGATAACCTTTAGCTAAGCCTTCCAAACCCATCACCAATATGATGACGGTCACCTCTGAGTCTCACAAAACCCAGGCAGGTAGGAAGGGTAAAGCTTATTATAGCCTTTTCCCAGACGGGAAACTGAGGCTAAAGGAGTAACTGATCCAAGGTCAAACCCCTTAGTGGCAGAGCCAAAGCCAGACCTGAGGTCTCCCAAGTCACTGAAACACAGTTCCCACCAGCCCCTCCCAGTCCCATCAACCCAAGCCACACACCCCGAGTCCCCTGGGCCCTCTGGACAGCCGCCCAGCACTGAGCCCCCGGCCGGTCTGCGTTTGGCACAGTCAGTCAATGAATAAATTTTGGGTGCCCACTCGAGTATGTGATGGAAATGATGGACCACACCCTCCCCAAGGAAAATGTACATAGAAATACACAATCGTGTGCCAATTCTGGGGGTTCGCATACCCTGGTTAGAAAGCCCTGACTCTTCAGAGCTGACAAGCTGAGCGGTCCAGAGATGACCTCATCACATCCCCACCTGCTGGTGAAAACGGGTCCTTCTAAGACCAAAGACCTTATCTCCCACTTCTGAGTCCGAGGTCACCGCTGCTCCAACCCCTGGAGGGCAGGCACTGCCCATGCGGCCCTAGGCCACTCCATCACATGCTCTTTGTATTCAAAACAAGAACATTTATTACTTATCCTTTTCCTTATAAATTCCTTGACAGCAACACAAAGAAAAGCACAAGAAGACTTATCTGTGCACACACAGGGAGCACACCCACCGCTGGTGGCCATGATGGAGGCCACATCCCACCCGCAGCCAGACTCCTGGGTTTGTCAGGCCCAATCTCACGGCCTTGGTACCGGCCTGGGAAGGGCAGTGGGGGTGTGGGAGCTGGGCAGGGAAAGGCTGTTATATCCTGATAAGACCCTGCAAACCCCAACCTCCCCTCACCCAGGCACTTCTTTGTATTTTGGTTTAAGCGCTTAGATAAGTGGATTCTAAGAAATGGTGTGTTTTTCCTGGGCTGCTCCAACTACCAGCAGCGTCTGAATGGAGGTTAGCAAAGCCAGGCCGGGCAGGCACCTCGGGCGGAGAGGGTGCTGGCAGCTTGGCTGGTGTCAGGATGCGGGAGCCCTGTGGGCTTGAGGGAGGCAGGAAGGAACACCCTGAAAATATCTGGCTGCTGGTGTGTCCCGACCCGGGGGTCAGAGTGTCCAGATGCTCGGAGTTTGGTTTTGTTGAACCGTCCCAACGAACAGTCTTCAAACAATTCCGTTTTCACGGAAATCAATAGCAACAAGGCAGCAAGCAAGGAGGCTCCTGCCAGTTCCGTGCAGAAAGGCACCAGATGGTTGTTACGAAACATATTTTGGTCGGAAAATAGCTGGGCTTTTTGGTTTCTGGGGAGACAACAAAGCTAGAAAAGAGGATGTGTGAACTGTGGGAGGCACAGGTGAGAAGGCAGCTTTGGCATCAGGCCTGGGTTCTGCTTCTACCCCTTCCATGCTGGTGGCCTCGGTTTTCTCGTCTATAAAAAGACAACGATATTCTGCCTCAAGTCCAGGAAGTGTGAGGGCGAGGCTCGGGGACACTCACACAGACACAGACAAAAGGGAAGAGGGAGCACAGCTCATCCGTACGGGGGACCAGGGTGGGTGGGGTGGAGTGGGGTGCACCGATGGAGGGCAGTCACGCAATCAGACTCTGGGAGTCCGTGGGCGGCCAGTCGCCCTGCCCTGGCTGGGCGCACTGACGGGCCCTCCGATGGGACTTGGGCCCCTGCTCGCCGAAGGGCAGCAGGAAGCTCTCTGCATGGCAGCGCCAGGGGGCAGCCTGCGAGCCACCCCAGCCGTGTGTGCTTTAAAGTGCCAGCTGTGTCGTCTTTGGTCGGGGGCTGTCCCTCCGTCTCTGAGCACCCCCAGGCGGGGGGCGCACGCCCAGGCCTGCTGGGGCCCCTGCAGCAGATGGGCCGGAGGGGCAGTCCCCTGTGGAGGCTGCGGTGCTCTCCTGTGCTCAGAAGACAGAAACGAGGGCTCTGCTGCTGTCAGTGAGGGGCAGAGCCGCCGCCGGGGAGAAAAGGGACGAGAAACGCTTTGGTCGCCGTGCGGACACCACGGCAGAGCAGAGCATGCTCGGGCGGAGGCAGGAAGCTGGCTGTAACACTGTTCGTGGCTGACACATACCCAGCTTCCGAGCTGAACCAGAAGTCGCTGAATAAATACTCAAGGCCCCTTTCAGTCCTTAGAGAGCGGGGTTCGAGAACACGGCTCCTGCCCTCTGCTTGGCTGGTGGCAGCTTTGACCTGCAGGCTGACAGGGCTGCCCACCGGAAAAGGGGGGCTGGGGCCCGGGGCTGCCCTGCCCCACCAGCCCCGGCGCTCAGAAGCTGAAGAGGTCCTCCTGCTTGGGGCTGCCGCTGTCGGGCTGGTCCCAGTCGATGGGCGAGAGGCACTGGGCATAGTGGATGTCCTGGGCCGTCAGGCCGGTGTCCAGGACCTGGGGGTTCGTCCGGGACTGGGCGAGCCTGGAAGGTACAGCGGTGTGAGCCGAGGTGCAGGCAAGGGGCTGGCGGGGGCCTGAGGAGCCAGTCCAGCCCGGCCAGCACCAGGGTCTGAAGTGAGAGGGCGCAAGTGGGAAGATGCCAGGACATGGGGTCAAAGGAGAAGGTCCCAGATGTCAGGAAAGGTGGAGTCTCTGAGCAGAGAGCCTACCCTTGAGGGTAAATGACTCAGGAAGCTTCTCTCCACAGAGAGGCAGGGGCACACACACCACCCACGGCTCCAATAGGAAATGCCCAAGAAAGGGGAAGGGCCGAGCTAGAGAGGGCACCAGAGGGCACACGGGAGAGGGGAGGGTACAACCTGAGACTATTGGCTATAACTGTGTGCAACACAGTCTGTTCAAAAAGGAATTTAAAAAGGGGGCAACCCGAGGGGCGAGTTACTTAAATTACAGCCACGTCCCAAAGAACGCAGGCAAAGGATGAAATGTGTGCCCAAGGCATTGTTGACACCTGGGGAGTTGCTCCTGGTAGGTCAGTGTCAAAAGTGGATATCAGCATCCCAAATGCAAATATGACAAGCTGATCAATGCAAAAAAAAAAAAAAAAATGTATATGGATAGGATTAGGCCTAAAAGTCTGGGCTGTGGGACGATGGGATGGTATCATTTCCAATTTAATGCTTTGCTGATTTTTGAAGTGTTTAATAAAAGGAACATGGTTCTTGGGTAATCTGGAAAAAGTAAATGGAAGATTTTCTAACGACGGGGAGGGGAGGTAGTCAGCCGGGGAAGCGGGGAAGACAGTAAAAGGAGGAGCCACACAGGCTGCCCCCACCTCCAGGGCCAGGGGCTCCCACCAGGCTCTGGCAGGAAGGACCTGGGGAGGGGGCAAAGGAATGGAGGGGGCTGCTCCCAGGGAGAAAGAGAGGCCTCACTGGGACCCCAGGCAGCCATGGGTACAGGGATGGCTGGGAAGATGGGGAACAGCCACCATTCAGGCTCGACACAAACAACTCCTCGCTCTAGGTAGTGGGAGGGCTTAAGTGAGCCAATACCTTCTCCCTGCCCTTCCCTATAAACGGAAAACCTCTGGAGGGAACAAAGGCTGCAAAAAAGCCAGTTTTTGGCCTGGCCGTGGTAGCTCAGTGGTTGAGCATCGACCTATGAACCAGGAGGTCACAGTTGGGAGTCCTGGCTGGGGCACATGCTTGGGTTGCAGGTTCGATCCCCAGAGTGGGGTGTGCAGGAGGCAGCTGATCAATGACTCTCATCATTGATCGCTCTTCCTCTCCATTCCTCTCTGAAGTCAATATATACATATATGATTTAAAAGCCAACCTTTGACTGTGGTGAAGCAGCCACTAGGAACTGTTGTTTACTTACTAGCAAGAGCTTTCTAGCAGACAAGGCCAACCCCAGGTAGTGAGCTCCCCACCCCTGGAGTTATTCAAGCTGAGGATTTTGTTCTGGAGATGCTCAGAGTTGGCAAAGGTCCTCAGAGACCTGCCCACAAAAGCCAGGCCTCCCTCCCCAGCACAAGGAGCCCAGTTAACGTTACCTTGAAAATGCTTCATCCAGGTCGTCATCCAGCTCCTTGGGGAAAACAAAGCGGGAGATATGAGGCCATGCGGGGGAGCCGGGCTCTCGGCTGGGACTTGTCCCCGCCCTGGGTGAGCTACGGGGACTCAGAACAAGCATAGGAGTCTGGTGGGCGCCTGGAGGAACAGGCTGAGGCAGGCCTCCGCCGAGCTACTGCCACCAGCCTCTCTGCCCACGGACCCTCACCTGGGGAGGGACAGGAGAAGGGCACCTGGGCGCCAAGAGACCAGGGTGGGTTCAATTCCCAGCTCTGTCGTTACTCCAGTGACCCCTTAGGTAGGTCACTACTCCTCTTTGAGACTCAGCTTTTCCTTCCATCAAATTAGAGGATTAGTCTGACGGCTGCTAAGATTTTCCAATTCTGAGAGGAAGAGGGCGGGAAGGTTTTCTTGCTTTCATCCACTTCCAAAAGCCCAGCCCAAATTCCAAGCTCAGGGGATAAGTGCCGAGGTGGGAAACAATGGGTCCCCCAGAGGGTGGGTGCCAAGGGCGGCTCCAGACAAACGGGGACACAGGCTCAGTGCGCCCGCCTGGCGGACCTGGGTGGCCCCAACAGGCAGAGGCATTTGACAGTCTTTCGTGTCCTTCAAGGTGCCAGAGTTTCTTAAAGAGACATGACAAGTCGTGTGTGATTCTGCAGTGGAGTCTGGACCAGGAAAATGACATTGGAGATATTGGAGGTTATGTAACAGTGTCGGACTGATGTTAATGGTTTTGATCACTGCAATGTGGTCACGTAATATGCCAGGATTTGGAGAATCTGGATGAAGGGCGAACAGGAATTCTTTGTCCTATTTTTGTAACATTTTATAATTCTAAAACTATTTCCAAATAAGAAACTTTTTTAATTTAAAAAGTCAGATTTCTCTGGGAGATTCTGCAGGCAGGCCATCCTCCTCACTGAGAGATGAAAAAGCTGAGACACACCGAGGTCAGGGGCCTGCAGAGCATGTCAGGGGCCAGCTGCTGGCCGCCCAGGTCTCAGACTCCTCATTCAGACGGCGAGGGGGGCGGCGGGTCAGGCGCAAACTCTGCCCACCCTGAGAACAAGGGGGCCTTTGGCTCGTCCTGCGGTCTGGGATGCTCAGGCCAAGAGGCCGGGCATTGTGAGGCGACAGCTGTGCTGGGAGCCAAGCCTGTTGGGGACGTAGCCCCGGGTTCAAAGGGGACATTGTTCATCGCCCACCCTGGGCCTGGGAGCTGCTGGGCTGGGGCTGGCCTGCCCAAAGGCCTGGAAGTCATGGGCGCCAGGCCCTGGACCGCCCTGGGGCCTCCTCGGGGGTAGGGCTCACCGGTCCCCGTGGGGTCAGCAGGCTGCACGAACACTCACCCAGACGACACTGCCGCTGCTCAGGGCTGGAGGCCTCGGGGCCTCGCCGACGCTGGCGGTGTTGGCGCTGACTGCGGACAGCGGGGCCTTGGCCGTCTCTTCCAAGTCCAGCAGGTTCCCAATGGTGGCCACTGCGAAGGGTCCAGTCAGAGGCGTCAGTGGGAGAGGAGCCTCATCTCCTTGTCCCTCCTGGAGCCTCCTGGCCTGTCCTGGCCCCAACTCTCTCTTTGGACGCGGCCTTTCCCAAGGCCCGTTACCCAGAACACCCAGAGCACCCAGCATCAGAGGAGAGGCCGGCTCTAAAGCAGCCCGACAGCTGCCCTCGACGTGAGGACCTCTCCCCGGCTGGCGGCTTATGCTCACAACAGGTGTGAAGTTCAGGGAGGGGTCCCAGACTGCATGTGAAGTGCAGACGCAGAGAGGTCTGCATATGCTCCTATTTTTGCACAGGGACGCATCTGGGAGAACATGCAGTTCATAATAAGTAACTTTCCCCTTTGTCTCCATTTTCTAATCTATCTGCAACGACCATGTGTTATGTATTTAACAAGAAAAGTAAAAATTAAAAAACCGAGAGTTAGCTCCCACCCAGGAGGGAGCAGGGCCTCCAGGTGAAGGGCCGACCCCAAGACCGCAGCTGCCCCCAGCCTTGCCCCCAGCCCAAGACTCACGGTTCTTCAGCGAGGGGGTGCTGCCGCCGCGGCCACCGCCCAGGCCGTCCCCTCCCTCTTGGCTGGCTTTCTCCCTCTTCTCCTTCTCTGTGGGATCAAGCACAGCGCGTTAGTGCCTCTGCCCCCAGCACTCCATCCCCAGCAGCTGCGGGGCGGGGAGGAGGCTGTGGCCAGCCTCAGGGGGCAGGTCTGCCTCCAGCAGGAGGAAAGGAACTGCAGGTTCCAGGTCAACCCCACAGGGCACCTGTCTGAAGTCACAAACTGGGGAGGTGATGAGGGTGGGAGTCAGTCCAGGCCTTCCCGCCCCCTCCCCAGCCCACACCACCCCGCCAGCCTTCTCCAGCGCTGCCCTACCCCCGCCCACTCACAATGTCTGCGAACAGGCTCACCTTCCTTGGACACCTGCCAAAACTCAAAGGCAACTTTGAAGGCCTGGGCTACGGTGAGGGTGACAGCCTGAGCCTGAAAAACAGGAAGTGAGTTCAGGGGAGGGGGGCAGCATTAGGGGGTAACAGCAAGTCTGAACTGGAGGCCGGGGGCTCCTGGGCAGGCCCACCTGGCTCCATCCCAAGGCTCTGGAATGCCTGATGGATGGCGGCAGAGTCCTGGCCCTCCCAGGTCACACAGCAGGCGGGTTATAAAGAGGCCACACCCTCCCCAGGCAGCTGGGGCCCCTCTCCACCTGCAGCCCAACCAAGGCTCCCACCCTCATTCCAGCCGGGACCTTGGCCATGGCTGTTCACCTCCACTTTCCCCCATTCCCTTGGGGCTTTCCTAAATTCACTTAACTGTGAGGCTGACTTCTTCTGAGAAGCCCTCCCCAACTCCTCAAGGGCTTCACACATTACTTAACCCGTGGAGTTAGGGACAGAAAAGCCAGCGCTGGAAAGGGTCTGACCACTGTCTGAATGAGCCTCGGGGGCAAAGACTGGTTAGGACTGCACAGAGGCAGAGGGCCTATAACTGAACCCCACAAAGGCGGCGGGGAGCTGTTACATCTCCTGACAGAAGCCAGTTGTCCGCGAACACCGTGGCCGGGGGAAACCCCTCAGGGCCATCACCCACCTGTAAGGCGGGGCCACACCGTGGCCCTCCACCCTGGGGGCCCTCGCTCCCACTCTTCCAGCCCAACGCAAGCATCACCCCCCTCTCATGTCACCAGCTCACATGCCTGTGTCACCCCACCTGGGTGCTCCCCACAGGCAGGAATCACCCGATTCCCAGAGCCCCCCAGAGCGGCAACACGCCGGCTGAACTGCGTTTTCCCACGAGGCAGGCATTCTGAGGCCTCACACTCCTGCCAGGACCTACCCTGCCACATTCCATTCGGCCCCCTCCTCTCTGATCGGAGTCCAGCTCATCAGCTCAGCTTCGGGGAGTGCGAGCCCAGAGCCGCAGCTATGGCTGGAGGCGACAGCTGGCTTCCTCCCGAGAGCCGAGAGCCGGGCCGGGGAAGGAAGCACCAGACCCTTTCGAGTGTACAAGTTCAGGCTTACCCAGCCTCGGCCCCGCTCCCTTCCTCTCGCCAGACAACTCAATTTAATTGGGAAATGAATCCATGGCTACTGCCTTTAAAACTTTTTTTCTCTTTAATTTAAAACCCCTAAACAAGCTGACTGATCCATGCCAATTAAACTTCACGAAGTATAAAATCTCATTTGAATGTCTCCATCATTTACATTTCTGATGGAAGTACGGGGACTTTATGGCAAAACTTAAATATGGTAATTAAGTATGAAACTCTTCGCAGCTGTTTACAATTTAAGCTGTCACAACTGAATCAAATTGAATAGACTCCGTTACCATTGAGAATTGCCCATGAACTAAAAATATGGACTAATTACCAGCCCGAGTCCGTCAGTACACACCAGGCAAGGCTGGCCATCGCTGTGGCAGGGAGACGGAAACGCCGTGATTTTTGCCTTCGGGAACTCTGGGGACACAAGCCTGCGTTTGCATTAATCTGCTTGTCCATTTGCATACACTCGTGCCCTTTCTCCCTAAAGTCCTGAGCTACTAGTTAAACCAAATATAACCCGAGATTGGTAGGTGTACAGGCGGCTACAAGCCCAGGCTGGCCGACTGGGAGGGGCTGGGTGCCGCTTTCTGGGGCGGCTGCAGGAATCTGAGCAGCATCCTAAGAAAGGACCGCTCCAGCCCGCCCACAGGTATGGGGGGCAGCCAGGGGGGAAAGGGGTGGAGTCTCCCTGGATTCCACAGGACAAAAGCCTGTCTATCCCTCTGAGTGGGTCAGCCTGAGGGCCTGTCTGATTGCCCTGACCACGTTCCACCTCCATTTTTTCTTGTCGGTGACCAGGCTGTTAGTTCTCCGAGGGGCCAGGGCCAGCTTAGGGCTGCAGAGCTGGGCCAGGGCCCTGGGATCCCAGGACTCAGACCAAGGCAGCCCCTGAAGCTTAAACCTTTGCACAAAAAGGATCACTGAGAAATGCCATGGCCATGTGAGAGAGAACAGCTCTGTGTCTCCCCCCACCCCCGGCCCCGCCCGGAGCAGGATTAAGGGTATCACTTCGCTCGCTGCCGGCACACCTGCTCTGAAACCCTGGGCGCCGTCAGCAGCTCCACCTTCACCCCAGAGCCCGAGGATGAAGTGCTCACTGAGGCGTCCCAGTTGGGCTGATGGAAACGTTTCTTTGTAGAGAAATTAATCCTGGGGAGGAGGCACTGGGGAAGGGAGGCCTGGTACTGCCTGAGTTGAGCTGAACTGGTGGGCAACCCAGAAAAGAACCCCTTGCCCCCCACCCCGGATGGGTCACAGGCATCTGGCTCATTCGGGCATCAGGGCGAGGGTGCAGGGACTGTGGCCCCAGGCCAAAAGGAGTGAGGACTGTGTCAACATCCAAAGTCGACGCTCCCCTGCAGGAGGACAGGACCTTGCCACCCTCCGGGCTCCTCAGCTGCCGTTCACTCCACTGCGTTTGCACCTCTGTGTCTTTGCACCTGCTACTTTCTGTGCTCACCCTCTCGCCATCCCATCCCCTTTCTCCTGGCCTGGCAAACGCTTACCTACTACTCAACCTTCAAAGCCCAGTTCAAAACATCTCCTTCTCTGGGAAGTCTTGCGGACTTCCAGTGAGACTTACTAACCTCGACACTAGAACCGAGACCCTGCACTCCAGTTACTGAATCCGGCCCCTCCTCCCCCACCACCTTGTTCATACCCCCATGGCTGATCTCCCGGGTCCCAGAGCCCTATGCAGGGCTCAGCCCAGGACAGATAGCAGCAAACATCAGTGGGGTACCTGTCAGCAGGTGGGTTGCAAAACCTGAGGCACCATTTCACCTGCTGCCTCCTCCCCAAGAACCTTGGGATTTCCATTGTAGCCAGGCACCAGGCCGGCCAGGGCTCCGCCGAGGCCTTGGGGACCACAAGAACCCCATCCTTGTATCAGATAGTCAGTTTACACCACCTTTGGCTGGGCTAGCTCCTCAGGGGCTTCCCCAGGGCTCCCTGGAGGAAGCCAGGAGGGCGGCGGGGAGAGGAGGAGGACAAGCCGTGATCCCGTCATCCCGGACATGGATGAAAACCTGCCAAGAAGAGCGGGCATCTGCCAAAACCAGTTTGGCTCAGTGGATAGTGCGTCGGCCTACGGACTGAAAGGTCCCAGGTTCGATTCTGGTCCAGGGCATGTACCTTGGTTTCGGGCACATTCCCAGTGGGGGGAAGAGGGGATGCAGGAGGCAGCTGATCGATGTTTCTCTCTCATCAATGTTTCTAACTCTCTGTCCTTCTCCCTTCCTCTCTGTAAAAAACATCAATAAAATATAAAATTAAAATTAAATAAAAAAGAGTGGACATCTGTGCCTGTGCCCATCGGCTCTCTGCTGTCAGCGTGAGGTGGTGGCTGGGCTGTTTCCTCAGTAGCTGACCTCTGGGCCTGGACGGGCTGATTTCAGTCGGGGCCGTCTAAAGGCCCCTGGGCCTTGCGTACCAGACCAGGCCTCCCTTCGCCACTGGCCCAGCATCCGCTTTCTTTTATCCCCCACCCTCCCTTCCCAGAGGAACCCCACAGCAATGGCTGAGGCAAGCTGCCCTGCCCAGCGCCTGCTCTGGTCACTGGGGAGGAAGAGACAAACAATGGGGACGTGATGAGCCTGTGTTTTAAGTCTCTGTGGCCTCCTAGGAAACAAAGCCAGGCGGCCACTGTCACGGGAGGAGCCACCGCAGCTCAGGGCGTCACAAGGCACCGGCGAGTGGCCAGCGACGCCGAGCCTGCGGGGAAGAATCACGGTGCACAAAAGAACTGGGCCTCTCGGAACAATCCTGATCTGCTGATGGGCAAGCAGCCAGAGAGGGCAGGGTCTTGTCCACGGTCACGCAGTGAGCACATGCGCCGGGATCCGACCCACGTCTGCCTTCTCCTGCAGTGCTCCCTCCGAGGGACCTGCGGGAGGCTGACCTGTGACCCCGAAGAGCTCCACATCCTAATCCCTGGAACCTGGGAACCTCACCTCACAAGGCAAAAGGGACCTTGCAGATGTGATTACATGGAGGATTTCTGAGATGGGGGATTATCCTGGGTGCCCAGTGGGCCCGATCACAAGCGGCCATATGAGAGGGAAGCAGAGGGGAGACTGGCAGATGCCACACTGCTGACCCCGGGGCTGGAGAAGGGGGTCATGAACCCAGGCAGGCAGGAGGTCTCTGAAACTATGAATGGCAAGAAAATGTGCCTCCCCTGGGACCTTCCGAAGGAGAGCGGCACTGTCGGCCCATTTCAGACGTCTGACCTCCAGAACCAGACAAGAATAAATCTGTGCTGTTTTAAACACTGAGTTTGTGGTAATTCCCTCCAGCAACAATAGGAAATCTATATCTAGAGCATGGCTGATGGGTATAGCAGGAAGTCTGGGGGTCCGTGTAAAGACTGTGATGTCCTTGATGATGGGAAGGGCATGCCCCATAGGGCTCTGGCTCCCTGTACAGATTAACAGAGGCCAACACGAAACCAGTAGATGTCTGGAACCTCTTTCCAGGGCAGATGCTCAGGCTTTGGGGGCCTTGGAAATGAAGGGGCTTCCAGCACCGAAGGCTGACTCACCCCCTGATCCTGCCCCAAAGCTCAAGACAAGCCCAGAGCCTCGGGGTTCCCACCGGTCCCAGCCAGGTGTGGCCTGGGCTGGAAATGGCCAGGAGTCCCTGCTCCTCACAGTCATGCTGGGAGGGGCGGTACCCTGGGTTCAGACCCTCCCTCTGCCTGGCTAGTTGTGTCATCTTCAAAAAGCCAGCTGACCTAAGAGTCTGTTTTCTCATTAAAAATAAAAATAAAGCCCTGGCTGGTTTGGCTCAGTGGATGGAACATCAGCCTGCAAATGTTCCAGATTCCGGTCAAGGGCACATGCCTGGGTTGTGGGCTCGATCCCCAGAAGGGGACTTGCGGGAGGCAGCCGATCCATGATTCTCTCTCATCATGAATGTTTCTCTCTCTCTCCCCCTCTTCCTTACTCCCTGAAATCAATAAAAATAAATAAAAACAATGAAGACAGTTCAGCTCCCACCCACAGCACTGGTGTATTAAATGAGAAGACACCTTCAAGCCTGCCTCTGAAACAAGCACGTGGTTCATACCGAAAACGGCGATTCCCTCCCCGCTCTGGCCACAGGAAGCCAGTCCTCCGAGGCTCCCACTGCTCCCTTCACTCTGGGCCCCTCGATCGCCAATCTCCAAGGATGATCGCCAACCTCCAGACCATACGATTACCAGGAGACCCCGAACATCTCAAATCCAAATCGTGTTAGAGAGGCAGGTCTGGCAACCACTGGGGACACAGGCTTGTCACTGCTCACAGCCCACTCTGCCCTCAGCTCTTACCGCCCTTTGGGCTTCCCAGGATTTCCTATTTTGAGTGATGTGTCACCTTGGCTCTGCCTTCCCACCAGACAGGGCCGCCAAGGACAGGCCGCCGAGGCGAGCAGAGCCTGCCCGAGCCCGGGCCTCTCCCCACTGACCATTTTCCGCTTGGTGCAGAGGAAGGCGTGGCACTCGAGATTCTCGTTGTGCTGGCTCTGGGCGATGTAGGCAAACACTTTGCCGTGCATCTTGTCCGCTGTGCAGTAGGAGATCCTGAAAGGCAAGTGGGAAATGCCTGACAACATCCAGAACACCCGTATTGCATCTCGCCTGGGTTCCAGGCAGCCTGCTCCCCACTCCACCGGTGTATGATCCGGAGAGACGGCCTTGGCCTCTGGGCCTGGCCTCCTGGGCCAACCATGCGAAGGCCTGGGGGGAGACTGGAGAAAGGGCACTTCCCTCCTCTACGGAGCCATACCCCAAACCTGTAATAGCTGAGCCCTTACTGTGCACCAGGCAATGCTCAGCTATCACCTCATTTAACGCAGCTGCCCCCTGAGGAGGGTCGTCTTGTTCTTCCCACTTTTCAGATGAGAAGATTGAAGCTAGCAGTCTCAGACCACCACGCTAGTGGCAGAGCTAAGACCTGACCTCACCCGCTGATGCCAGAGGCCGTACCGACTGCCATGCTACCTCTCAAGGGTTTGTGTTAACAGGTGGATGGGAAACTGCCCACCCACTGAGACCCTTTAGCCGGCCTCCCCTGCCCCTAGCTGCCCTCATGCCCCTGACCAGAGGCCAGAGGGGTCCCAGGACTGGCCCTCCCAGGGCGACCGAGACTGCCAGCAGATTCTCCCGGAGCAAGGCGGAGTGGAATGGTGGGAGCAGGGTGGGGATGTGTGGAGACGGCCAGCCCAGGAGCCCCAGGGGTCCAGGACTCCCTCATCTTAGACACTCGCCTCCCTTGTCTGACCCTCCATGCTGGCTCATCGTGCTGGGAACTGCAATCAGTAGAGGAACTGGCAGCTCAGAATGGAGACGGTTCAGCAGACACCCTCCCCCAGTGTGCCCTCTTGGGAAACACTTATACCCTATCTCCTATTTCCTCCTCTCCATCCCTCCTAGACTGGAAGCTCCTTGAGGGCAGGGCTGGGTCTGATGCCTCACCTGGGTAAAGGAGGCAGACAAAACCAAGAAGGTGAAAAACAGCAGCCAGAAACTTTAAAACCACCCCAACCCCAGTACTGGCGCATGCCCCAACCGGCTAAGCCACCTGCTTAGATACAGAGCAATATGGCGGAGGGACGCCTGGCAGACCGGGGCCTGCTGGACAGGACTCTGGCCTTGGTGTCCTGGCCCAGCTTAGCACTACCTCATGTGCGGCCTTGGGGGCTCGAGGCCTCTCTGGGCCTCGGATTCTCCGTTTGTAATATGAGTCTCTGCTGACTGACCAGCTCTGACATCCTGTAACTGACCAGCTAAGACACATGTGTCAAACACAAGGCCCGCGGGCCAAATCCGTCCCGCCAGGCCTTGCAATGTGGCCCGCACCGCGCTGTCATCACTGCACTCCGCTGCGTTTCCATCACAATGACAGTTTATGACTGTTCAGTAAACCATTCGGCCCGCGATTTAGGCTGGATTTTAGATTTTGGCCCCTTCTCTGATTGAGTTCGACACCCCTAAGCTAAGAGGATGGGGACAGCCTGAGGCTCCCGGGGCTGGCTCTGCCTCTCGTGAACAGGCACCCACCCCAGCTGCCACTGTCTACATTCTGGCCTCAGGCTCTGCCTTCAGATACACCCCAGTTACTTCAGTGGCTTCCCTGGACGCCTGGCCAGATGTCCAGGCAGAGCTGCTGCATTCACAGCGCAAGGAAAGGACCATGACTCAGCAGCTGTCTGCTCCAAGCCTGACTCAGCAGGACGCTTGGGAGGAGGGGCTGGGGAGGCGGTTCGCAGGCCTGGTCCAGCCTCAGTGCCTGCTGCAACGAGGGATCACAGCAGCAGCTGCTGCCATTGTACCAAGCGCCCATCGTGAGCCTGGTGCTGTGCACTCAGTGCTTCCTAACAGCCCCCAGAGGCAGGATCTGTGTCCACCCCAATTTACAGATGAGGAAACTGAGGCTCCAAGGTCATTCGACAGAGCATGGCATAGCCTGCCTGGCTTCAGGCAGGGCACTCTGCCCACGCCCCAGTTGGCAGGGTGAAGGTGGTGGTGCTAGGCTTACCTGTAAATGGACACGTTCTCAATGAGCTGGTTGGTGATGCCGTCGGTCAGGATGATTCCCCGTGGGGACACCTTGAGAGTCACCTTCTGCAGCTTCTTCCCGCTGGCCTTGGCCTTGGGGCAGACACGGGTCAAAGGAGCCTGCCTACCTCGCTTGGGACCTACCCTCATGGCTATGTCCAGCTACTCCAGCCCCCACCCTCCAGGCCCCTGGGAGGCCTCAGCTTAGGTGACTGGAAGGCGTGATTCAGAAGGCATTTCAGCCAGCACCTTCTTCTAATAAAAATAGGGACAACTGCTTCTCACAGAGCAGCCGCTGTCTGCCGAGCACTGGTCCTCGAGTCATCACAGGCAGCAGTGCTTCTCCCCAGGAGAAGGACCAGAGAGGTTAAGGGACCAGCCCAGAAACACACAGCTAGAAAGACCTCACACTCTGAGTTCTGCGTGAGCTGCCACAACCCAGTAGGAAGACTTCTGGGGACTCTGCTCTACCTGCTGACCCCGCGAGGGCCTGAGCTGAGGGGTCTGAGATCAACAGGGGAGGTGGGTGTATAGGGCCATGCTCACTCAGAGCAGGGGAGGGGACATCTGGTCTCTGGTGTGCTGAGCTGCCCCGCAGGCCGCATAGCAAGTGGTTGGGTGACAGTAACCTCCCCCATCCCTTCCTCGCACTAAGTCTCCGGCTGTTGGGCTCGGGATCTGAGGGAGGGGAGGGGAGGCTGGGAGAGGACATGGCCACAACTGCTAGAGGGGGGGACACTGCCCCTCACCCCGCAAGTCCAATTGCCACCCTTTCCCAGAGTCCCCAAGGCAGATGCAAGGGGACTCAAGGGCGGGGACAGGCCAGACACATCCAACTGGGGTAACAAGGGGGACAGGCAGCACCCCGGGAAGAGGCTGGACAGGCTGCCCACACGGAGGCTCACCGTGGCCACGATCCTCTTGACGGCGGCCGCGGACATCTCCTCGCCCTTGGGCTGCTCCACCAGCGTCATGCCCAGGTACTTGAGGGTGAAGAGCATCCCCTCGAGCAGAGTCTCCCGGGTGTCCGTCCAGTTCTCAGGCAGCTCTGGCGGGAGGAGGACAGGCGCTCAGACCTGCCGGGCAGGCCACCACGGCAACAGCCCCTCTCCCACGGGCCCAGCAGGGGGCTGCGGGTCCTGCCATCAACCATTATTTTTTTAAATATATTTTTAGCCAAAACCGGTTTGGCTCAGTGGATAGAGCGTCGACCTGTGGACTTGAAAGGTCCCAGATTCCATTCCGGTCAAGGGCATGTACCTTGGTTGAGGGCACATCCCCAGTGGGGGGTGTGCAAGAGGCAGCTGATCGATGTCTCTCTCTCATCAATGTTTCTAACTCTCTATCCCTCTCTCTTCCTCTCTGTAAAAATCAATAAAATATAGATTTTTTTTAAAATAAAAAATATTTTTATTGGTTTCAGAGAGGAAGGGAGAGGGGGAGACTGAAACATCAATGATGAGAATCACTGATGAGCTGCCCCTGCATACCCCACATGCAACCCAGGCACATGCCCTGACAGGAAATCAAATGGTGGCCTCCTGGTTCATAGGCCGATGCTCAACCATTGAGCCACTCCAGTGGGACCATTATTTTTATAGTTAATAAAGGGCAAAACTAACATTTTCCATTATGTACTGATCCCTGTGGTAGCAAGCTTTGTGTAAAATATTCTCATTAATCCTCACGAGAACCTAGAAAGTAGAGCACTTTATCATACCATTTACAAAGACACTGAGGCAAAATCACATAACTGAGTCCAAAGAGCAAGCAGGTATAAGAGCCAAGATTCGAACCCATAATTTCAAGCCCAAAGCCCAAACTCAACTTCAACACTAACACTTGCTGAGGGCAAACCATGTCATTTCTCATTGAATCTTTAATGCAACCCTGTAAGGTGGAATTATCCCCACTTCACACACTAGGAAACTGAGGCTCAGAGAGCCAGTCCTCAGACAAAGAACCCATACAGAGTTAAAGGGGCGGAGTTAGAGTTCAAACCTGGGCGGTTTCCACAGCTCAGCCTGCTCTGCTGTCCTCCACGGAGACAGGAGGAAGGGGACCAGGAAAGAGACACCAGCCCAAGGAAGTAAGGGGAGGGTGAGGGGAAGGGTTTGGGAAGGGGGAGGTAACTGCTCAAATGACACCATGTGAAGGCCGCCTGAATCGGGCAGACTGGGTGTGAACCCAGCTCTGTTCCCAGCACCTGCTGGGCCTGGAGAATTCCTTCTCCTCTCTGAGAGGAATAATGCCTGCGCTGCAGCCCTGACCCAGAGCAGGCACAAGGGAGGGGTCCTTTGAAAACTCGGACCACGAAGGAGGTCAGAGGGTTGGAAACGAGGGACGAGCCAATTCCCTGGGAGGGGAAAAGTCCAGGAAGTGGAGTTGGAAAGAGCCCCCCCACCCCCCGTCACCCCACCCACTTGGGAGAGGACTCCGAGCAGGCAGAGAGACAGGACAGGGTGACCATCCCCAGGTTCCTCCTCAGGGGCTGAGGCCAGAGGCACCAGGTCACTTCGCTGGGGAGCGGTGAGGCCAGAAGGCAGGCCTCCGCCGATCCTTCCAAGCCCATCATGAACTGAACATCCATGCTCCTGCCTGTTAGGCCGTTGTCCATCCCTCAGCACCCTCTATCGGATGCTGTAATGCAGGAGGTATTATGATTGTACCCATTTTATAGATGAGGAAACTACTCTTCAGCCTCACACACCACCATGGCTAGAGCAGGATTCAGACAGGAATCCGTTTCTAGGGTCCACCTCCGAGATGGCCAAGGCCAGCTTCCTTAGACCATTTCCAGAAATCCATCTAAGGAGGGCAACGTACGCACTGCCATGCTTGTCTCGGTGTCCTTGGCAGACATGGCTAATCAACTGTAGCTCTATTCCCTCTGATTTATAGGCTTTGGGCTGTTCCTCAACATAAGGCTACAGGCAGGCAATACCAATTGATCAGGGATGGTCTTGTTCACCTCACTATTCATCACTGCCCTATGGCAAACACCCCCACCACCACCATTGTCATGTCTCCCACTCTCCCATTTCCTCCAGCTCGGCCTTTCCTGGTCCGTGTCCAAAGCCACTTCCGCTCCCTCCATTCCAAAGGGCCCAAGCTTGCCAAGGTCACAGACAACCTCTTTGCTGTCAAAACATTCCCCGGCCCTCCTTGAACTCTGAGATGCTTGACATTTTTCTGCATTCCTCGTTCCCTGGCCTGACCCTTCCCCTAGACTGTGGTCCCCATGGAAGAGGGCCCTAGCGGACAGGTTGCCACTCATCAGCCTCCGAGACCTGCCCAAACCTCTCCCTTGGCAGGTGATGAAACTGAGCCCGGAGAGGAATGGGACTTGTGCCGAGTCATCAAGTAAAGGGACCCCCAGCTCCCAATCCACTACAGGCAATTCCTGCAATGACTGTTGGGGGGCTACAGGTTCCCCGACTTCTCCCCCAAATCTCTCTCTCCAGCACACACACACACACACACAAACTCACACATACACACTCTCACACACACACACACACACACACACACACCATCTCCCCCCATACACACACACACACACACACACACACACCCCGTACACACACAGAGATGTTTTAACCAGGCAGAGCTTCTTCCTCATGGGGTGGCATTCACTTTCCCACTTCTGTGCCTCTGCCCAAGTGGTTCCCTCTTGGTTCCCTCTACCACAAATGCCCCTGCCCTCCCTTCCCCGAAACCCCTCACATCCAGCCTCCTCCAGGAAGCCTTCTTTGAGGCAGGATTGCCTACTGGTTCAGAGCGAGGGCCTCAGTCCTAGAATCCCAGTTCTGACACTGAGTAGACTTGAGCAAATTACCTTCCTCGGGCCTCAGTTTTCTTATCTATAAAGAGAGACAACAGCCCCAGCTTTCAGGGCCTCCTCCCTCCTGCCACTGGATTGCTCCTGCCTCTGGAGTGTGGACTTCCTTTTCTCCCTCCCACAGCCAAGCAGCTGCCCGCCATGTGTCTTCCTGTTAGAGGACTCCCATTCCTGCCTGCCTCCCCAGAAACTGGTATGCAGAAGGTGCCCTCCTGCCGGCACTGCTGCTCTGCCTGTCCTCCTCCCTCGCCCACCGCCCATTCCCCCGCCTCCCGGACAGCAGAGACCCTCCCTCCCCCGCGGGGAAGCCAGCCTCCGCTTCTCCAGTTCTGCTACGTTCTCTCATGCCCTCGCCCTCGTCAAGAAACCAGCCCTCAGGGCTCTCCATACACAGAGGGGAGGTTCCTGCCACGCTCTCCACCCAGCCACCTCAGACGGCGGGAGGAGCTCCCAGAGGGCCCCAGACAAAACACAGGCCTAGCGCACAGCCGTTCCGGCCGGGTTATTTCTGGCCCTGCGGTGGGTAATGACTAGGCTGTTTTAACGCTGCCGCTTCACAGATGACCTGCTCTCAGAGTTAGATGGGGACAGACCGTTTGCCCAGTCTAACTCGAGGCTGCAGACGTGTGCTCCGTCCTCACGAAGGCCTCCTGCCCAGGAGGCAGAGCTGGGTAGGGTGCCCTGTGCCCTTCTGCTGAGCCAGTGACCTGACCTGGCTGGTCTGTGAAATGTCAGCGTTGCAGCCAAACCCATGGCCGGGAGGGAGAGGAGGGGCCTCTGAAGACTGGAGGGGAGCCGGCCTCAGAACCCTCAGAGGGACATCTCAGGAGACTCAGGCTCTGCTGTGACCTGGAGTGTGGCTGCTTCTCTAGGCTGCGGTCTCCTTAAAATGGGTCCAGTCCCTCCGGGGCATCATCAGAGAAAAGTTCAGGATGTGCAAAGTGCTGGGCAAATCTTGGAAATTGTTCATTTCAGTTGGTTCGAGTGTTACCTTGATACACCAAAGTCGTGGGTCCGATATCCAGTCAGGACACATGTAAGAATCAACCAAGGAGTGCACAAATAAGTGGAACAAATCGATGCTTCTCTCTCTCTCATCAGTTAGTTTTTTAAAGTTGTTAATATTTTCAAGAGAAAATTTTAAAAATAGCAGCAGCTATCATTAAGTACCTATTTACACGATACAAGAAAAAGATGCCATCAAGGTTAAATGATGGGGTTTGGATAGGAGCTGAGGGGTTCCTAGTCCCTCCTCCTCCCTGGTCCTCCATTTCCTCACTTGATGGGATAGTAACACTCTCCACCCCACGGGGCTGTTGTAAGGATGGAAGGGGCTCACCCATGAGGGGGGCTCAGAACCATGCCTGGTACATACCAAGTGCCACTGAAGTGTGAGCTACTGTCATTGCCAGGGTCAAGTGCAAAGAGCTTTAATGCTCACAGCCGTTTGTAGCAGGATTCCCGTTTCCCAGGTAAAGAAGCTCAGAGGAGTCTGGCCATGGCTCACAACTGACAGTGCTGGGTCTCTTCACCCACACCTGCAGCCCATCGCACCCTCTGCCATGCGAGGCAGGAGTCAGACCCGGGCTCACCCAGGAGAGGCGGGCACACTGCCCCTCAGGACTGCCTGAAGGGCGTCTGGCTCACCCTCAGTGGGCAGGAGGTGACCTGATTCCTTCAAGCCACATACCCCTCCGCTGTCAGACCTGTGAGAAGCAGAGTCCCAGTCTCCGGTTTAATGTTCCTTGTGCTTGCTGTTCCCTCTGCTGGAATGCTGTTCCCAGACTCCTCTCCTGTATTCATCATGTATTACAGTCACCTTCTCCGAGGGGCCCGCCCTGACTTCCTGCCTGGACACTCCCAGTGCCCTATCTATCGCCTCGGTGGGTACCATCTTCCACTCAGCCTGCAGCTCTCTCTGGCTGCTGGAGATGCAGACTGGGCACTGGGGCATCAGAGCTCCCACCCCAGACGGCACAGCCCCTCCAACAGTAAACACAGAGCGCATTCTACAGCACACCTCCTCCCAGCGCTCCCCACGGGACTGCCTGCAGTCACCCCCCTCCCCCCCCCCCCCCCCCCGGGGTAAGGGGGTTAGATTACAAACAGTCCTGGGTTACATCGGACTCAACATGTGCATGCCGTTTGGTGGTGGTTACATCACCATCTCCCATTTATGTATAAAAAAAAAAAAAAGTTCCGTCATTTCGACGTATGTACCTATGTGCTTTATGTTTTTTATTATTTATTTACCACAAGTAAAGGTCAGGAATTGTTATCTTTCTCTTAATTTTTTTACTGTTTCACTTCATCACCGCTGTGTATGTGCTCCATGTGAGTGACGTGGGTGCTTGTGTGGGTGGGTTCCGAAGGAACGGATCTCCGACGTAACCCGAGGATCTACTGTATTCAGAGTTCACTTTTTGGACTCCCCTCACTTCTCCTCACACTATTTCCTGGGACCTCTTCCCAAATAAACGACTTGTACTCACATCTTTTTAAAAATGTATTGATTTGAGAGAGAGGAGAGAGGAAGAAAGAGCAAGAAAAAGTCACATCGATTTGTAATTCCACTTACTCGTGATGCATTCATTGGTTGATTCTTGTATGTGCCCTGACCAGGGATCAAACCCGTAACCTTGGGGTATCAAGATGATGCTTAACCAACCGAGCTACCTGGCCAGGGCTTACACTCAAATCTTTGTCTCAGCATTTGCTTCTAGAAGAATCCAAATGAAAACACCACCCTAGGTAAAGAAGCTGTCCCCATCATTTCTTCACCCCACTTTCTCTTTCTTCATAGCATCACCACTGCCCACAAAATATTTGACCATCTGCACCCTGGTCAACCTGCCTCCTCCTCCAGGCAGTAAGCACTATCTGAAGGGAGACCAACTCGCTCACCAGACCCCCAACGCCTCCATCAGTGACTGACACATAGTCAGTGCTCAGTAAGTATTAGTCTGAGTGTTCGTTTATACCTTTTATGGTAAATATTAAAAAACTAGATTCCCAGTGCATGGAATTCATGCACGGGGGTGGGGGAAAGGTTTGGGTCCCTTAGCCCAGCCTGCACCTTCTCACAATCCGGGACTCTTTGGTGGATGTCTGACTGCCTGCAGTTGGAAATCCCTCTTACTGACTCCTAACCACTTGCCTGCCTGCCTGACTGCCCCTAACCACTCTTCTGCCTGCCTGATCACCCCTAACCACTCTCCTGCCTGCCTGATTGCCCCTAGCCACTCACCTGCCTGCCTGATTGCCCCTAACCACTCTTCCTGCCTGCCTGATTGCCCCTAACCACTCACCTGCCTGCCTGATAGCTCCTAACCACCTCTGCCTCGGCCCCTGCTACAGCAGTTTCATGCCCAGAAGGTCGTTCAACTGTCTGGTCTAATTAGCATACAATGATTTTATTATCATAGATAAGTAGGACTAGATCCTCTGCCCCCTGTCCTCCACCATGAAATAGCTTTCTTTTCCTTTAGCTGTTCTCACAGCTCTGTGATAGGCTGGCACCACCCACAAAGGAGCCCAGGGTCAGAGGGACCCTCCTGGAAGAAAGGGGACTGAGGGACTGGGGGCGTCTCCCTCGGGAGAGCTGGAGGAAAGGAAAACCCCTGGCCAGGGGCTGAAATGAAAGTGTTATGGCTCCTGAAGAGAAGGGGGGAAGCCACATGTGGGAGAGGGACATCTCCCTTTGATGCTAGGACTAACTGGGAGACGGAACCGTGAGGTTCAGTGCAAAGAAGCTTGGGGTCCTGGCTTTGCAGTGTGATCGCAAGCAATCTTCCTTCTTTCTCTGAGCTTCAGTTTCTCCAGAAATAAAACAATAATCGTGCTAATCGCAGCTGAGGACCTTGAGGGGTGAGGAGCAGGTCACAGCTGACAGGAGGTGTCAAGTGTACCCCTAATTCCGCTGGTTTCAGTTTGGCCTCAAGGCAGCCTGGTCCTCAAGGTCTGAGACTAAGGTCTGGCTGGAACACCACCCCAGGCCAGGCTGTCCCCACATCCCACCCAAACACCCCTCAGCTTTCCTCTCTATCTTGTGGCCACCACTGTCCTCAGGGCTGCAGCGCAGCCTGGGATGGGCCTGCACCTGCTCCTCCCAGGGCCAGAGTCCATGAGGCACAATGTCGACAACTGGGCTGGGGATGTGCCAGTCCATGACTCCACTTCCCCGAGCCCCCCTGTTCCTTTATCTCTAAAATGAGTCTGGTAAGAATCCTTGCTGTCACCTCACAGGAGCAAATTAAATAAAAGTAAACAAAAATACTGTGTAAAACATTAATGACAAAGCAGCCCGGCCGGTGTGGCTCAGTGGTTGGGTGTCAACCTATGAACCAGGAGATTCTGGGTTCGATTCCCAGTCAGAGCATATGTTGGGGTTGCAGGCTAACTCCCCAGTAGGGAGAGCATGCAGGAGGCAGCCGATCAATGATTCTCTCTCATCACTGATGTTTCTATCTCTCTCCCCCTTCCTCTCTGAAATCAATAAAAACGTGCATTTTTTAAAATGACAAAAGCAGTAGTTACTATTTATCAAACTCTTTCTCTGTGCCAGGCAAAACACCATTTCATTTATTCCCCCATCCCCACCCCGCCCCCGCCGCCCAAATATGATGTAGATACTACTACCGCTATTTACAATTTACAGATGAGGAAACTGAGACTTTAGAATGAGGGGCGGGTAGGGATTCGAGCAAGATCATCCTGGGTCCACAAAGCCCCGGACTGGGGTCAACAGGAGAGAGGGGGTCTCCTCTCCTTTCTTCTGCAAGTACAGACAGGCTCTGAGGACACCACCCCCCCCCCACCCCCCCCCCACCCCCGTCCCAAAACTCGCCCCTCCACAGTAACAGTCGTGTGCAATGTACACATCACAGGCGGGTGAAGGGGAGTGGGGGAAAGAAAACCACCAACTTGGTGCCAGAAGGAAGTATGATTATCAATAACCTCCTCAACACCCCTGCCAGGTTAGAATTTTTATACCCTTTTTATAGACAAAGAAGCTGAGGATCATAAAGGGCAAGCGGCTTGTCCGAGATCCGAGCAGGCAGGAGAAACTCTTTTTTACCGACCAGGTCTCCAGATCAGAGGGGTTTCTATGTTTCCTTCTCTTGCCCAGCTGCCCCCCCCCCTCTTTTCCTCCCTCCCTCCCTCCCTTATCCCAAGAGAAAATTTGGCAGGGTTTGCCCACTAGAACAGTTCATTATCCTCAGAAGTCCTGGTCCAATCCCACAGACATTTAAAGGGGCTCTTCTGGAGTCCTAAGTGTGGGAGACGGTGCATGCCTGGCCCTAACGGGTCTGCCCCCACCCCCACCCACCCGCCCAGCTCCCAATGCCAGCCTGGGTTTGGGAGACCACAGCTGGCACCGCAGGGGAGGAGGAGCGGGGCGGCTCTCCAGGCCCAGACACGCTGGCACTCCGGGGCCGCGGGCACTTCATTCTCCGGCTGTGCCCGGGGCGGAGGGAAGGGAAGGGGGCGGGGGGCGGTGTTGTAACTGCGCTGTCACAGGTTTCCTCCCGGGAGAGGCCAGGGGGGTGGCAGGGGGTGGCGGTGTGTGGGAGCCGGCTTTGGCTCCATCCACCAGGGAGGCAAGCCACCGGTGTGTCCTGGGGACTCAGGTTGGGTTTCCCAGGCCCCAGGGGAAGGCGCCAGGTGACGGGCTCCCTTGAGTAACTCGAGCCTGGGAGGGGGGGCCGGGGCAGCGGGCAGGCCCCGCCCAGGCGCCCCGGGGAGAGGTGCTGGCGAGTCTGCCGGCCGCCTGGGTGCTCGGGGACCCTGAAGCCCGCGGAGGACGGTGCGAGGGAGAACAGCTCCTGGACTGGGCCAGCGGCGGGGGCGCAGGGGTCTCCATGGCCGGGTGGGTGGCCCCATTGAGACCCCAGGCTCACCTCGACCCAACTTCAAGTGGGTGCCTGCGAGGCGGGGCGCAGACCTGGGGCGGTTTCTGGGCGCCGCGGGGTCAGAGGATGACCTCCTGGTTGGACCGCTGGAGGGGGCGCAAGGGCCAGGGGGTGGGGGCGTATTCCCCGGCCGCAGCGCCCCCTCTCCACTGCCCCCCCCCCACCCCGGGCCCCGAGGCTGCGCCCCGCCTCCCCCAGCTGCCCGGGGCGGCGGGTGCAGAGCCTGCGGGGGACGCGCAGGTCTCTGCTCCGGACCTGCAACCCCGTCCCACTGTCGCTCCGGCCTCTTTCCCCAACTTCGGTCCCCGCGGCCCGGCTGCACGGAGCGGGCTCGGGGGGAGAGGCAAACCTGACCCCAGCGGCTCCCTCGCCCCGCAGGACGCGGGTCAGGCCCGCCTCTCCCTTGGGCGCCCGCAGGAGGCAGCCCCGCGGCCTGACCCCCGGCCGCCCCCCCGGCCGCGCACACACTCACTCCGGTGCCGGCCGCCGCCCCCCCAGCTCTGCTTGGCGAGGCTGGGGCTCCGGATCAGCGCCCTCCCGGCGGACTTGAGCGCGTCCATGGCCGCTCCGGACGCCGCCGCCGCCGCCGCAGCCACCGAAACTCCGCCGGGAAAACTTTCCTCCGGGGCCGGGCGGCGCGTGGGCCCCGCGCTCCTCCCCTCCCAGCGCCGGCCCGCGCCGACGTCTGACGGGGCGGGGCGAGGCCGGGCAGGCCCCGCCCACTGACCGCCCAGGTCCCGCCCACGGCCTCCAGGTCCCGCCCACGGCCTCCAGGCCCCGCCCCGCCCCGCTTGGTCTCTTGCCCCTGTCCCCTCAGGCAGTCCAGACAAAGGATCCTTTAAGGTAGGGAGCCCCAGAAGCCCCCTCTTTTCCTCTCTCTCCAGCCCCCTGATGACTCACCCCATAGGAGTCTGAGGCTCGCGAGCCGCCTTCCCCCGCCGCGGGAGGCGGGAGCCTAGGATGTCCAGACCCTGCAGCGTTAGGGCACTTGGAGACCTTTTTTTAGAAAAGGGGAGACTGAGGGCTGGAGAGAAGGGTCATGCTCAAGAGGAGGGAGGCGCCTGGGACAGCGGGAGCCTTAGAGTGAGAGGTGGAGGTTGTGGAACTTGGCTGGGAACAGGGCAGGAACATAACAGTTGGCCTTAGCAAGACCAGTTGCACTTCACCTGCGCAGTAGCACCCAGGCTGCTCCCTGGTATCACCTGGGCATGCTGGGAGGCCCCATGCCAATCCCACTCCTCAAGTAGCCTCCAGATGGTATGGCCTGGGTGTTGTGCTCTGAGGGAAAGCAGCCTTGGCTCTGGCTCCGACTTGCTGGGTGACCTTTCCCTATCTGGGTCTTCATCTTTACCTGGGAAGTCCTATCTCTAGTGACCCTTCTTATCTGCCAGGGCCAGTGCGACATGACACACACCCTGCCTGCTAGGAGGCACTTGGAGGGGAGTCTGGGTGCTAGAATTCCTCAAGCACAGATGTTTTAACTCCAGGATTTACAGATCTCTCTAGGGTCCTGTGCCACCCATCAGGCTTTGCCACAGGGAGTCCAAAGGAGAGCACATATATTCTGGCTGCTTCTAGCTGGGCTGCCTCAGCAAGGCAAACCAGCCTCTGGGATTGCGCCTGGCCCGAAGGCAGGAGTCCTGCTTCTGAGTCTGGGGTGGGACTGGGCTGTGCTGCCTCCAGCTGTTAGAGGCCTTGCTGAAGTTTCCTCTCTCCGTTGAATATAAATTAAGTGCTTCTCTGGCCATTCCAACCACGCTGCAGCCAGCAATAGCCCCGTTTTACAGGGAAATAGCCCAGGGGCCAGGAGAGAAGCACTCACTGCGGGCCTCTGAGTCAGAGGCTGGGGTCAAATTCAAACCCAGGCCCAGGGGCAGGAGTAGAGTGCCGGGGTTTGAACCCAAATGTTCCTTCCTTTGGTGGTGGTGAGCTCACCTTTCTGAGCCTCGTCTGTAAAGGGGAGCCGATGCTCTTCCCCGGGGCGGTCTGTAGGGTTAAATAAGAGTTGGAAAGGCTGCGTCCTGTCTTGGAGAACTCACCTGGTCAGGTTGCCTCCTCTAGGAAGCCTTCCCTGACTGTCACCCACTGGTTCGGCTTCTCCCTATGGGACCCCACAGGCCCGAGCTTTGGGCATGGCAAGTGTTGCTGCTGTCTGTTTCTTTTTTTAAAATATGTATTTTATTGATTTTTTTTTTTTATAGAGAGGAAGGGAGAGAGAGAGAGGTAGAAACATCAACGAGAGAGATGTGCCCACAACCAAGGTACATGCCCTTGACTGGAATTGAACCTGGGACCCTCGGGTCTGCAGGCCACACTCTATCCACTGAGCCAAACCAGTTAGGGCGCTGCTGTCTGTTCCTATGCTTCTCATGCTGACTAGACCTTATGTCCTTCAAGGGCAGTTAAGTTTTTCTGAATCCAGATGCCTAACAAGAGGCCCAAATGGAGTTGGAATAATCTCAATGTTCCTTTCCTTCCTCTCCTCTTCCCTCCCTCTCTCCTCAGCTTCTCACCACCCCAGAATGCCTTCTCCCACAAAGGGCTGTGGCCATGGGTAGGTCCTTAGGGCTAAGCCCCTCCCCATCTCTCTTACCCCAAGTCAGCTGGGTCCTGGGACAGTAGAGAGAACGTTCTGGAGCCTGTTGGAAAAGCAGTCACTCCGGGCTGGCCGGTGAAGGGCAGCTGGTGGCGTCCGGCTGGCAGGGGGCACCATATGGGCCCAGTGAAGCAGGCAGGCTGGGAACGCGGGGCCGGCAATAACGGCTGTTTGTAGGGCCGGCACAGGCTCCCGGAGGTGACGTGCTGCGAGCTGTCAGCCGTGCATCTCCCGCAGACGGGCGGCCTGCTTGTGCCCCTCCTGCCAGTTCCAGAAACAGAAGCAGTAACAGAAGGTCAGAGCCGCAAGGGGCCTCCTCTGAGGGCACCATGTCCAAACTCTCATTTCACAGGTGACATGTGGCCCAGAGAAGGCCAGGGGCTTGCCCAAGGTCACACAGCAAGCCAGGACAAGAAACCCAGTCTCTGGCCTCCCAGCTTGAATGTGTCAAAAAAAAAAAAAAAAAAAAAAAAAGGGAGCAAAGAAATCTCGAAAATATAGCAGTATCCAAGAAGGAATATTAAGATGATTTTTTTTTCTTCTCTCTTTTTTTAAATTTTTTATCTGATCTTTGGGAAATTTTCTACAATGCTCATCTATCCTTCGGTAATCAGAAAGGGGGGGGGGCAATTAAAGGGAAAGGGAGGCTAACGGTGGGCATAACTGGCTTTTGTCCTTAAGAAAATGGTGTCGGAATTGTAGTCTTATTGTTTTTCTCCCCCGCTGGGCCCTTAAGGGACCCCCAGGAGATAGAAGGTGCCAGGGAGCCAGGAGGGCTCTCAGCTTCTCTCCAGCTGTCACTTGGGCTTGCAGTGGGAACCAGGACAGAGCCTCGGCTGGGATCAGGAGCCCTGCTTTCTCACTCAGGTGATCTGTCCTCCCTGCTTCCCTGTGAGCCAGCCAGTCCCTTCGTCTGGATAGGCCTCAGTTTTTCCATCTGTGAAATGTGAGTTTTTACATCAGGGTATGTATTCTTTCTCCCACTAGCAAAGCACGGTGGTTAGACGCCTTGATACTGGAGCCTCGGATCACATCTCCTCCACTTCTTTATGACCTTAGGCAAGTTGCTTAAATCTATAAGCCTTAGTTTCCTCACCTGTAAAATGGGGATAATAAATAAATAAATAAGATGGGTGATAGACCCTCCCTTCCCCCAACTGATGGATGGAGTACGATGTAACCTGCACCTGTGGTCTGGGCATTCCTGAACACCTGACCAGGCACCTTATATGGACTGGACATTGAACCACCAATCAGCATCTGCCAAATACCTTAGGCCCCCAATTCCAAGTCCCTAAATGCCTAATCATGTGCCTCATATGAAACCACCAATCAGTGTGTGCCAAGTCCCCTAAGCCCCATCCCTTCCCTTTCCTCCCCTCAGAAGGCATGCTCACCCTGTACGTGTTGCTGTTCTCCCCTGCGAGACAGCCCGGCAGGCCCTTCTCCCGCAGTCCTGGTTTTCCGGCCTCTCTCTCGTTCTTTCAATGGGGATTATACCTCATGGGCGTTTGTAAGGATTACAAGAGTTAATGTTTGGGACATCTTTTGTATTATGAAGTATGCCTGGCATATAGTAAATGTTATATATGTTACATATTTTAATAAAACTGAAATCCCTTGCCATGACTGGTTTGGCTCAGTGGATAGAGAGTCGGCCTGAGGACTGAAGGGTCCCCGGTTCGATTCCGGTCAGGGGCACTCAGTCCCCAATGAGGAAGGGGAGATTGCAGGAGGCAGCCCATCAATGATTTTCTCTCATCGTTGATGTTTCTATCTCTCCCACTCCCTTCCTCCCTGAAATCAATAAACATATATTTTTTAAAATAATAATAAAATACAATCCCTTTCCTATGTGTCTCCACAGGCCTGAGCTTTGCTCGGCACGTGTTGGATAAACAGTGAAGACGGAGTGGCCATCACCATAATTCTGGGCTGGCCCTCAGGGAAGGGGCTTCTCTCGGGACTGGAACCAGCCGGCCCAGCCTGAGCTGTGGGTAATCCAGGCTGTGTCAGACCCTGAGGCCCCACCTCACTCCCTGCTGCGGTATTGGGGCCACCTCCTCCCCACTTGGACCGGGTCTGAGACGGCCTCTCCCGAGGAATCAGAGGGAACCTGGGTTACTGTGAGTCAGGAGCCCAAGGGGGTTCCTGCTTAGACTTGGCTCTGCCCTTTCACCCAATCTCCAGGGCCTCTCCGCCTGCGTGTTCCACCACCAGCAGCCCCAACCTGTTGCCTCTGAACCCTTCCCCCTCAGCCGCTTTCCACGCTGTTTCCTCTTCCGGAAACATCCCCCCGGATTGCCTGCTCAACTCTGCCAGCCTCCCTACCTGTGCCCAGAACACCTAGCTGGCCTCCACCCCCAGTACCCCCAGGCACAGCTACCCTCACACCTCACTCCCACCTCAACACACACACACACACACACACACACACACACACACACACACGTTAGCTCAATGAGCCTCAGGTTCCGTGTGTGTCCGAGGGGGGAAAGCCGCCTTAGAGGGCGGCAGAAGGCTTCGGCGGGACAACATGTGGAAATGCTTAGCCCCGTGCCTGGCCTGTGGCAAGAGCTCAGCTGGTACACCAGGTGCTGACTCTGGTGATGGCTCTTTTTTATGGTTTTTGGTGAACCTGCTTGCCTCTCCAGCAGCTGAGCGTGCCTGGAGACCATCAGGCGCCCTGGTGTCCCCTGGGGCAGCTGGCCAGGGCCTGGCGCAGAGGCCTGGAGCAAGGTCTGCCCGGGCCTCTCAGGGCGAGCCCAGCAGCTGGATGGCCCTCTGCCAGGGGAGAAGCAGCAGCACCTACAGGGGCGGGAGGCGCTCCTGAGGGCCATCCTGGCAGGACCAGCAGCTGCCTCCTCTGATGCCTGGGCAGCCACAGGGGGATCTCCCGCAATGGATTTTGCTGAGCTACTTAAGAATAACAAAACATCACCGAAACTGGTTTGGCTCAGTGGATAGAGCGGTCAGTCTGCAGACTAAAGGGTCCCGGGTTCGATTCCGGTCAAGGGTATGTACCTTGGTTGCGGGTACATCCCCAGTAGGGGATGTGCAAGAGGCAGCTGATCGATGTTTCTCTATCATC